AAGTCCCTCCATCTTTAGTTTAGGCCAGTGGTCGGCAAACTGTGGCTTGCGAGCCACATGCGGCTCTTTGGCTCCTTGAGTGTGGCTCTTCCACAAAATACCTACTTCTGTGCATGGGCCACGAAGTTTCAATCGCACTATATGTGCGCACCCGCATGTGGTATTTTGTGGAAAAGCCACACTCAAGGGGCCAAAGAGCCACATGTGGCTTGTGAGCTACAGTTTGCCAACCACTGTGCTAAGTGAAATAAGTCAGTCAGAGAAAAATAAATATCACATGTGGATATTTACTCACTCACTTATGGAATATAATCAACAACATAAACTGGTGAACAAAACCCGATCCAGGGACAGAGAAGCATAGATCAGACTGTCAAACCTCAGAGGGAAGGTAGGGGAAGGTGGAGGTAAGGGGGGGGAGATCAAGCAAAGGAGTTTATGCATGTATATAAGCCGAAGCAATGGACACAGACAACAGAGAGGTGAGGGCATGAGTCGGGGGTGGGGGTGCAATGGGAGGATAAGGACACATATGTAATACCGTAATTAATAAAGAAAAAAATCCCCTAAAAAATAATTCTTGAAAGCATCAGTTATACTAACCTAAAATTGGAGATAGGCCCATCAATAGACAAGTGGATTAAAAAGTTGTGGTATAGCCCTAGCTGGTTTGGCTCAGTGGATAGAGTGTTGGCCTGTGGACTGAAGGTTCCCAGGTTAGATTCTGGTCAAGGGCACATGCCAGGGTTGCAGGCTCAATCCCCAGTAGGGGGCGTGAGGAGGCAGCCAATCAATGATTCTCACCATTGATGTTTCTATCTCTCTCTCCCTTCCTCCCTGAAATCAATAAAAATATATTTTTAAAAATTTGTGATACAGAAGGGGAGGGGGTGGGACCAGGGTAGAGGGGGTCAATGGGAGAAAAAAGGGGACATCTATAACACTTTCAGCAATAAAGATCAATTTCTTAAAAAAAAAGTTGTGGTGCATTTATATGGTCAAATATTACTCAGACATAAAAAATGAAATCTTATTATTTGCAATGGCATGCGTGGACCTAGAGGGTATTATGCCAAGTGAAATAAGTCACACAGAGAAAGACACATACCACATGATTTCACTATGTGGAGTCTAAGGAACAAATAAACAAATAAGATTGAAACAGACTCATAGACACAGAGAGCACATGGTGGTTGCCAGAGGATAGGCATGCTGGGGAACTAGGTGAAAAAGGTGAAGGGATTGAAAAGTACAGATTGGTAGTCACAAAATTGTCAGGGGGATGTAAAGTACAGCATATGAGTTATAGTCAATAATATTATAATAACTGTGTTTTGTGCCAGTGGGTACTGGAAATACCAGGGGGATCACTTTGCAAAGCATATGATTGTCTAACAGTGATGCTGTACAGCTGAAAGTAATATAAAATAATATTGAATGTAAACTGTAATTGAAAAATTAAAATTAAAAAATTTGAGATGGAATCTAAGTGGGTAGGTGTATTCTTTTATCAGTTCCCAATGTTGTAGGAGGCATGAAGTGAAAACATTACAGGCCCTGGCCTGGTAGCTCAGTTGGTTAGAGCATCATCCTGATACACCAAGGTTGTGGGTTTGATCCCTGGTCAGGGCACATAAAATAATCAACCAATGAATGCATAAATAACTGGAACAAAAACCAATACTTCTTCTCTCTTTCTCTCTCTCTCTCCCTCTCTCTCTTCATGTCTCTCAATTCAATAAATAAAACAGAATTAGTATGGGAGCCTTAACTTAAAACAAAACTATACTCTGCATCATGGCCCATCTGACTGTAAATATCAGACTCCTTTCTGTTCTTCAAATATAAATTTGAGATGGAATCTAAGTGGGTAGGTGTATTCTTTTATCAGTTCCCAATGTTGTAGGAGGCATGAAGTGAAAACATTACAGGCCCTGGCCTGGTAGCTCAGTTGGTTAGAGCATCATCCTGATACACCAAGGTTGTGGGTTTGATCCCTGGTCAGGGCACATAAAATAATCAACCAATGAATGCATAAATAACTGGAACAAAAACCAATACTTCTTCTCTCTTTCTCTCTCTCTCTCCCTCTCTCTCTTCATGTCTCTCAATTCAATAAATAAAACAGAATTAGTATGGGAGCCTTAACTTAAAACAAAACTATACTCTGCATCATGGCCCATCTGACTGTAAATATCAGACTCCTTTCTGTTCTTCAAATATCATATAGTCTCTCCCCATTGCCTAGCTAGTCCATTTACCAAGAGATTGCTCTGAAACAAGAAGTATACCATGAGCCAGCCCCAAGGCCCCAAAGTGCTTTTACTCCCCTACCTTTCGGAGTTTTCGAATAACCAGGGTGAGAAGAAGCCAGAAAAGAGTAGCTGCAAGGCCAGTACAAACAAGGATAATGACTTCAATATTGGATTTGTCTTCAGAGCCTGTAAAGACATTGACGACAGAATTTACTAAAATAAAATGAATTAGTACATTGCAGAAACTGAGAGAAAGACAGAGAATATTACCGCCTTTTACAAATCACATTTTATTTCTAAAGGACAAATATCACCAAGTGCCAAATTGTGTTTGTGCATACGTAAAATTTGTATAGAATATGGACATTGTCTTCTGAGACTTAGAGAAAAAAAATCCTTGATAGTTGTACTAGATGACTCAAAAGAATGAGCTGAACAAACATTGTATACAGACATATATCTGAGGCAGAAAGCCAAAATGAAACATTTAAAGTTATGCTCTACCTAATTAGCTGGCTCTCAAGGACAAAGCCAAAATAGGTGTGAGGTATGGTGTCACATTGCCTGAGTTGAAATCCTGGCTCTAAACACTTAACAGCTGCATGACCTTGAGGAAATTTCTAACCTTTCTGTGCCTCAGTTTGCCCAACTGAAAATGGGAATAATATAGTTATTATTTAAATGGGCAAACTGAGGCACAGAAAAGTTAGTAATTTCCTCAAGGTCATGCAGCTGTTAAGTGGTAGAGCCATATTTCAGAGATTAATCAATGAAGTTATGTGCATATATGCGTAGCCCACGGACAGACAATAGTATGGGGAAGGCCTGGAAAGGGGATGGGATTGTGGTAGTGGGGATCAATAGGGGGTAAAAGAGGGACATCTGTAATACTTTCAACAGTAAAGAAAAAATTTAAAAAATAAAAATGGGAATAAAATACCTGCCACATGGGGTTATTAAATGAGATAATGAGAAGTGAAAATAGCACAATATAGAGTGTATAACTTATTTTATCTATCTTATTATTACCAGTTTCCCATTTTTTTTAATTCAGATTCTGTGGACTATCTCAGACAAATGTAAGGCCAGATTGTTAAATAAGCTTATATGGTTTGCCTGATATGACCTAGAAGAGTATAGCTAGCTGAATGTGCAAAAGGCTTTAGAGGTGCCACGATGGTTAGTCCAACCCATAGCATTTCTTTGAACAGACACAACTTTACCTTTAACAATTAAATACTCATCATAATAGCATAGGGCATTGGAATCAAACACCTTGCTACAAGCTTTAGCAAGTGTCTTACTTTCTTTTTTTTTTTAATATATTTTATTGAGTTTTTACAGAGAGGAAAGGAGAGAGATAGAGAGTTAGAAACATCGATGAGAGAGAAACATCAACCAGCTGCCTCCTGCACACTCCCCACTGGGGATGTGCCCGCAACCAAGGTACATGCCCTTGACCGGAATCGAACCTGGGACCTTTCAGTCCGCAGGCCGACGCTCTATCCACTGAACCAAACCGGTTTCGGCCAAGTGTCTTACTTTCTTTGGGCTTCATATTTATAATGAAAGGTGGTCAACTTTTTATTTTTATATTTCCAAATGCCATCAAATATTTTCCAACCAACAAAAGGGAAGTAATGTCATTTGATACATTATATTTTGTAAAACATTCCCATATCTTGGCCTTAATTTGTATCACCTTTGAAAAAATAGAGCACAGCTGGTGTTATTCTCATTTTAGAAATGAGAAATCTGAAACCCAGAAAGGCTTATGTACGGTCCCATCAAGTTCGAAACAAGTATATGGTTCTGAATCTAGGTTTTCCAAATCATGCTATTCCACATACCTTCTCATTGAAAGTAGTTATATTAAGTGTATATCCATGATTGCCTTCTCCATTGTCTCTCTACACTGTGTCCCCATCACCAAATGCATTTTCTTTATTTGAGGGGTTCCATTACTGATTATCAATATAGCCAGGAATTTCCAACTTACCTTCCACAGTGATAAGAGCTGCTGTGCTGACTTCCCCCAACTCATTGGTTGCTTTGCACAGATAGAAGCCCTCATCTTCTTTTTTGGCTCGCTCAATAATAAGGCTGTTGTTCTTAAAGAAGATTCCTGCATCAACAATGTTCACCATTATTTTTGTAGTGTTTGCACTGAAGCCAAGTCTTAGAATATCCCAAGCCCCTATTTTATTAAGTCAATCTTGGAACAGTTTCAAAGTCAAGTAATCTCAAAGGAGCTCCACCAACTCAAGCCATCCTGACTGGAAACAACTACATAAGATCTTCAGACTCACCTGAAGCAGGAACAATAGGAACCCCATTTTTCAACCAGTGGATGTTAGGCTGTGGTGTTCCACTCACTTTGCAATCCAGCAAAATCTTTCCACTGCTGTTAACCTCAATATTCGTAAGATTCTCAATAACGAATGGAGCAACTTTTTCTATAGAGAACAGGGTAAAAAGAGGCAAGATTTTTGAGGAAGGTACCACATATACATCACTTAATCTCTGTTTTACCCCTCATGTTTAATCAGACATTGGATGGTTAAATGTCACCCTATTCAGGAAAAGAGAAGATAGATGGGGATAAAATCTACTGTAAGAGTAATGTGTGTGGTGGTTTGCATTTTGTATTCTTCAAGGTCATATTTAGGCACCACAAGCAATAAAAGCGGCTGCTCAAGAGTTTTGGTATTAGAAGGACCAAAAATTCCATTCCCAAATTTTTCTATCATCTGTTTAACACAGAGTATACAAGATCCTTTCCTTTAAATGTCTCCAAGAGGCTTCATGAAACAAAAGATTGACTGGTCCAGCCTATAAGTAAGACATAAATAAGTAAAAGCCCTATTCTGGTTCCACATCCCACACAGTAGTTGTCTTAAATGCTAAAAAGTTATGGGGAAGTCCCTCCAATTCTACCTCTAATTAAGAGCTGAGTATTATGTTGCGTTATCTTGGTGATGTTCCTCTGAGTCCAAGCCTTGCACTTATACTGCCCTTTATCCTTCTGGGTCACATTCTTAATCACCAGTGTCAAAGAGATGGAGTAGTTATTTTTTAAGCTTTCTGTGTATATAACAGGAATCTTCTCTCCAAAGGGGTTGAACCAAGCGAGCTGAGTGTAGATATATTTAGCCGCCTTGCATCTGAGCCGAGCATCATAGCCCTCAATTGTTGAGACCAGGGGTTCTGCCTCCATGAAGCCAGTCACATCTGTGAGGGTGAAGAAATGTCACTGTGAATATGACAAAGCCAGAGAAACTGACATACAGCAACACACCTAGTTCTTTTTCCTGAAAGCCAAGTTGTAGAAACAAAACATATTCCATCAAGGACAAATGTCCAATAATAAAGACCCAATTTCATTGAGTTTTTAGGGCCATTCCAGTATTATCACCAGCGTATTACAGAGTCTGAGAGTCTGCCAATATGGATGTCTAAGATACATATGGTCCAACTTACAAACCTTCAAAGCAATTCCCTTATGTTATCTTTAAAAACAAACCTGAGACAAATATTATCACCAACCTAATTTCATAGATTAAAATAGAACATGAATCCAAATAAGTGGCAGAAACAAGCCTGAGACACCAGGTCTACTAATGTGAGTTTTCATTTTTGCAATTTCATGCTGCCACTCCACAGGTAAGTTCTTATTTTGGAATCTACATTGCAGATGCTTTTTGTTGAATTAAAACATGATGTGTACAGGAAAATAGTACTTAAATGCAAAATTCCTCTAAAAAAAGGGTAGTGCAACAATTTTAAGCACTGAATAGTTTATCACAGATGTGATTGGGAAAGAAAATAGACAACTTTGTGAAAATGAAACTCTGGATACCCAGATTTTTACTTGAAATATAGCATGCAAAAACACTTGTAATCCTTTTTGTAAATAGGATTGATATAAATTATAAAGAAATAATTGACTACCATACCAATATTCTTACCCCCAAAAGATATATCAATTTTCACAACTGAACATTACACACATACACACACATACATACACACACACAAATTTGCACACATTTTATTTTAAATAGAAATGACTACAAATAACCTGGGGAGAATAGTTGTTGGATAAGAACAACCAGTTGTCCTGAACCAGTCCTAGAGGTTTTAATCCATTAGTTTTGTGGGGGAGGCATGTCTTCTGGGGGTCAGGAATGATAAAAGGCATTCTTTCAGTCAAAGCTTTGTAATTAGAATTAAATGATTAAAATTTTCTACTTGTCATGCCACTGTATTATCATTTTGGTGGCTATTTGCTTCAAGCACCCCAAGAATTGCTCAAGTTTTCTCTACCAATATTTATATTGATGAAGTCTACCTCTTTTTAAAAATATACTAATATTTTGTATTAGGGCTCACAGAATGTTTTTATAAAAACGAATAATTTTTTTGTAAATATATATTTTATTGATTTCAGAGAGAAAGGGAGAGGGAGAGATAGATAGATACATCAATGAGAGAGAATCATTGATCAGTTGCCTCCTGCATGCCCTGTACTGGGGGATCGAGCCTGCAACTCAGGTATGTGCCCTGACCAGGAATCAAACCATGAACTCCTGGTTCATAAGTCTATGCTAAACCACTGGGAAACACCAGCCAGGTTAAAATAATAATTTCTTAATGCCTTTTATTTAATATCTCTTGCATCACTCTAGAATTCAGTGATGGCAAACCTATGACACGCGTGTCAGAGGTGACACGCGAACTCATTTTTTTGGTTGATTTTTCTTTGTTAAATGGCATTTAAATATATAAAGTAAATATTAAAAATATAAATCTTTGTTTTACTATGATTGCAAATATCAAAAAATTTCTATATGTGACACAGCACCAGAGTTAAGTTAGGGTTTTTCAAAATGCTGACACGTCCAGCTCAAAAGGTTCGCCATCACTGCTCTAGATTCAGTGTTGGTTTTTTAAAAATATATTTTGGGGGTGGGTCAGGTAGAAGAGGGTAAATGGTGATTAAAGGAGACTATGCTATGGGTATTGAATACACAATACAATATATATGTTGTATTATAGAATTTTACACTTGAAAATTTTTTTAACCCGTGTAACTTCAATAAATTATATAAAGTCTACGTTTTAATGAGTCAGAGCAGTGATGTTCTTGATTGAAAAATATGGCTGTCTAAACAGTTGAGCTGACAATTTTCAAATTCTGGGCCCCTGTTATCTAATCCACTCAGTAGTGAACCTTCATATCCCTGAACACTAGCATCAAATTGTTGATGCAGAAGGCCCATTGATTTAGTCATGTGTACCAGTAAATTATTGCAGAGCATGGAATAATTGGCCCTCCCCACTAGACCAATCCTTCCCTTAAAATTTTCTGTGGTTGAAGACACCTTTTTCCTATAACCAAGAATAAAAACCTCTCTGTTATCTTTGATCCTTCTCTCCCCCTCACCTTCCACATCTCACCTCCCATCACTTGCCAAATCCTATCAATTGTTCCTTTGGCATAACCTTTCCTCACCCTTCCTTTCTGTCTCCACTATGAAGCTATCCCCTTGTGGGTAGTAATTACCTCATTCCTGAACAATTAAATGCTTTCCTAACTGGGTTGCTCTCCTCAAGTCTCACCATACACCAAACAATCTCCACAGGCTACCTCATTCATCCTCCTGGACCATAATTTTGATCAAAACCACTATCCAAAGCTTTAAATGATTCCCCACTGCTTCCAAATAAAGTTTATATTCCTCTCTCACTTATTCAAACTAGGCTTCTCTAAGGCTCCTCATCAACTCTTCCTCATCAACCACATCATCTATCTTCTCCAGAATTCCTCTGTTTTGACCTGCCCAATTGTCCCACATGCTCCACAAATATTTCACATTGGCTTATGCTAATCTTCCAATGCCAAGTAAAAATGTATATCCTCAGACAGTTCTCCTCTGTCCACCCACTCTAAAATAGGCTTCTCCAGCCATGACCGGTTTGGCTCAATGGATGGAGTGTCAGCCTACGGACTGAAAGGTCCCAGGTTCTTCTCCACTCTATAGTAACATTCTCTCTCTTATGCGCTTATGAGAAGTATAAAATGTCTATTCATTTATTTGTTCATTTGTTTCCTGTTTCTTTCCATCACTGCAATGTAAAGTCTATGAGGAAAAGAACCACACAAGGTTTAGTCAGTGCCATAGTCCTAACATCTAGCATAGTGTTTATCATGTCACAGTTGCCTAATAAATATTACTATAATGAATGAATATTGGTTGGTTAATTCCAATATGTATAACTTTTGCTCATACCACCCTCTTCCCTTAAAATGCCATTCCCAACATCTTTGTTTTTGTGAATAATAACTATCCATCAATCAGTGTTCTGTTGTTTTTGAAGCCCCTTTGGCTATAGTGTGCTGCCCAAATTCACTTCTCCCTTTCTTGGGCTAGTACAATCTGAAATTATATACATAATACCTTGACGTATTAGTTACATGTTTCTTTTTACTATCAGTTCATTTGTAAGATGCTTGAGGATACCTCCTGGAGAGTATGAGAAAAATTAATATTCATTTACTGTATTTCATAAAATTGAAGCAAACCATCACATGATGTATTTTTATTTTTATAAATGACCCTGAGTGTTTTTCATGGATATCCATCTTGTCTCTGTCAATAGCTTGTCTTGACTCTTTAGATTATAAAACTGCTTCAAGTAACGAATCCTTTCTTGGTTATTACAAAGCATTTTATAAACACTCAACAATCATTAACACATGTTTTAAAATGTTAGGATTAATGATCAACTTTTTTGTAATGCAGTTGACAACATATATTGATGGGGATCCTGTAGACTAACTTTTGGGGGATGAGTTTAATATAACTATGGATACTGGCCTTAAAACTATTATAAATTCAGGCACTGAATGGTCAAAGGGTCTCAGAAAGGTAAACGTCCTTGCTTCATGCCAGGCTGAATCATGTTTCCTGACAAAAGTTTGCATGTTTGTCTGAAATCTTGAGAGATGAAGACAAAGCCCTGAATTACATGCCATGAAGGTGTTTTTCAGCTATAGCCTCTGAAGCCATTAATGTCTTATTTAAAAAAGAACTGAATACTAGGATGAATGAAATACATTATTGTTATGGACTAAATTTTTGTGCCCCCCCCCCCACCAGTTCATATGTTGAGGTCCTAAAATCCAATGTGATGCTATTTGGAGTTGAGACATTTAAGAGATAACCTGAAGTTTATATGAAGTCATGAGAGTGAAACCCTTATGATGGGATTAGTGGTCTTATAAGAGGCAGAAAGACCAGAACTTTCTATCTCTCCACTATGTGCAGAAACAATGAGAAGGCAGACATATGCAAGCCAGAATGATAGCCCTCACCAGGGAACCAAATTGGTCAGCACATTAATCTTGGTCTTCCCCTGACTCAAGAACTATAAGAAATAAATTCATATTGTTTAAACCACCCAATCTGTGGTATTTTGTTATGTAGAGACTTTTAGAGGATACACAAGTAGGTAGGTTACTCTGTTATCTACATTACTGAAATTTACCTGACCAGTGAACCTAATAGGAAGTTATGGTGGTTTTGCTGGTTACATTTGAGCCCCTAGTATCCTCTTTCCTTTTTCTTCCATTTGCCCTAATACGGCTATATGGATTTATGGATTTCAAGCCTGACATTTCAGAGTATATGCCACTGCCTTCTTTCCCCATCCCAGCCTAAAATAGATGTCTCCAATGACTCATGCAAGTAAAATACTTGCTTTCTCATATGTTGTCTACCCTAGAAACCATGGCTTATGGGGATCAGATGAAAAAATTCAAGTTTAAAAACCTGGATATATTTTTCATCAGATCTTTGAAGGTCTGTCACTGTGAAGAGTAAGTAAGCTGACAGTCTTTGTTTCAACTTCAATGAATTTAGGAGTGTGGGTAGAAGCTAATTTAGTATAAGGGCAAGCTTTCTCATAGAGATGCCCCAAGATTAAACAGATTGCTTTGGGAAGTAGGGAAATAGTTTTATATCACCAGGGACACCCAAGCTGAAGTTGAATAATTTCTTGGTGGAAATGTTGTGGCTACAATTAGAGCACTAGAAGAAGGGAGAGGAAGGTTTTACTAGGTGATCTAGAAGGATCTTTAGGATCCTGACAATGGGTGATTCTAGGACACTGAGAAGGGACAATTAACAAAAGTTTTCTACACTCTATGACACTGGCCCTTAATTTTC